ATTTTTGCCTCAGATGGCATTATTTGCATGCTCTAATGTAATTTGGGAATTTTCACTGTTTAGCTGCATGCTCTCTATTTCTCAGTGGTGAGGTGTGCTTTGACCTGTCAGGTTTTGCTTTGCAGTCGTTGTTACCCTTTGAGGTCTGTGGAGGAAGCCATTTCTGAGGAAAGCCATAGGGGATTGCTACTTCTGTCCACTCCCTTTGAGGCTGAGATCCATTAATATATTGGATCTGTAATTGGATGGATGTTTGTAGAAGAAGGGTGAGGAATTGTTATGATTAATTAATAAGAAGTCCTGAGAAAAGCATGAGAATTCTTGGAAGTCTTAGATGCTATTTTGAGCGATGACAGCAGGTGGCAACCTCTCCCTAAAAATTCTACTGTGGAAGAGTTCAATACTTGCAAATTTTTCTCGGGCAGCCAGAAGAGTTTGCTAAAGAAGGGTTTTTTCCTTATTTAAGGATTATGAGTACTTTCCTGGATACACATATGCATAGTGTATAGAAGGATCACTTCTCTAAAAGCAAGACTCAAATCAGGCTTTTTTTTTTTTCTTTCAAACTCACTGACTTAAGGAGGAGGTGCTGCTGTATCTCTGCAGATCCTCAGCTGCAGTGGACCTAAACTGCTCGGACAGTCTTAAGACACAGTGTGATACTGTGATCCTTTAGCTTCTTTTGCATCCTCTGTGGGCCTCCTCAAGTCTGTTGGAAGCACTGCTGGTTTGCATTTAGGGCCAGGGACACCTCTTTGGTACCTATGATCCAGCACTTCTGCAGTTGTTCTGTTGACATTGAGCCACTTTAAATGGAGTGTTGTTTGGTTTCCTCCATTTGGGTGGGTTACCATGACCAAGACACTTCACCTTCACATTCTGACCAAAGTTTTCGAAAAGAGAACAGTAATTATGCAGGAATTGACTTTCTTATGTAAAATGCTCTATTGACAAGAAAAGTCAAACAATTGATCAGTACTGTTCCGCACAATTTTTGCAGCTTATCTTTATTTGCACATTAAAGGTAAATTATTTCAGGCATGCAGTCAGTCCATCACAGAGGTAAGGAGGGGGAGCTTGTGCCGTTTACCCAATTGAGTTTGTGATAGTTGTATTCTTCACTGATTCCTTACGAGCTAATTTTGTGTAGGGAAGAGGTCTCTTGGCCATTGTCTATTAATGTTATCAGAGAAGTTGCTCTCTCAAAAGCCAAGAAGCAGTGAGGCCTGAGTGTACAGCCAGCTCCTACAACTCATAGGTTGTAACTGGAGGAGGAAGAGGCAAGGAAGGGACTTGTAAGGAACATGGCAGTTGTCCTGTCCCCCATAGTGGTGGAGTCGGCTAGAACCTTGTGCAATTGACTGTTGCTAGAAGATTTGCCTAAATTCTGTGGATATTTTCACTCGCCTCTGCCAGCGAAGGGGGAAGACCTGGACAGGGTTTCTGCAGTAGTATGGGAGGCATGAGTAGGTGCTGGAACATCTAGAGATGCACCACAGAGAAAGTATGGTAGACCCCTAACGAGTACCCCACAAAGTGTGTACTGGAAGATTGGAAAGTAAGCTTTAGAGATTTGTTATAGTAATGAGGAGATGACCTTTCTACCTCTATTCATAGGGGGCATGAAGAAATAGTTGCACTTCACTTTTTTTGTACAAGAGTTCTGTTCAGATTCTGTTGAGCCTTAACTAAGTTGGGATAAGTTTAATGTGTGAATAGCAGTTGGCAGTTTGAGCTTTTGGAGCTACTGCTGCAGACTAATGCTAAAAAAGCATTAAATAGATTTTAGTCAATCAGCATATCCTAATAGTGCATGGAGGACAGAGAGAGAGGATGTCTTTAACTTCTGACTCGTGAGGCAGAAGAAACCCTAAAAAGAGGTGTAGAATTATTAGCTAGGGGGTCCAAGGCCAAGAAGTAATGCTGACCAAACTTCCCCCTTTTGTGGGCCCTGGGAGGCCACTGTTTCTTATAAGCCCTGCATCTGAACAGAGGGCCATGTGATGCACGTTGTAGTTTACAGTGTCAAGTAATCAGGAGAGGTTAATCACAGCAAACTGACAAGATGCAGAGAGTTTTGCTGTGCTGCCTGCTGACAGTTTTACTTTATTCAGCATGGTATCATCTAAGCATACAGTTCTGTTTAGCTAGAGTTAAAAGACTGCAGTGCAGCCAACCTCAAAAAGTTTAGGCACTGCTCATGAGAGTGACCCCACTAGCCTGTGAATGTCCACACATCATTTATGATGCTTAGAAGGCCTGTTTGTAGTCAGGAATGGAGCACAGGATACTTTCTCCTTAGTAAGAATGGGATCTTGCTCAGAACAGTCATTATTTGTATTGTATTTAGTTGACTTTATACTCAGTTTTGCAGCCTCCCAGCTGCCTGCTGTTGATGTTTGATTTTCAATTAGCCTGCTATATTGTTGTCCAACTAATCTCTCTCCAGAGACTTGGGCAAATTTTGGTCTTGTTTTACAGGTGTCGCTCCATCTATCCTGAGTAAATAAAGAGTTGCTGTCAGTGCTGAGATTGAAACTCAGTAGTTATTTGTGGATTACTTCTCACCTTGTACCATTTGCTGGCTTAAGGAGAAAGTCAAATGATTTTTTTTTTCCTTTTGCTTTTTGGAGGAGCAAGAACAAAGTACATTAACTGAATTGGCACACGATAGCATTGCACTTTGTTTTCTGTTGCCACGTCACTTTTCTGCTTGGAATTTAGCCTGCCCTGAGATTCTTTCTGCTCCCTCTTTGCTGATGTATATACATAACATTAGCTTGTTTGGAGAGAGCAACTAGTGCTAGATCAAAATACATTTGTTTAAATAATTTCTGCAGCTGATTTAAACCAGCCTGCAGTGAAGACTTGAGTATGTTAATTTAGATCCCCTTCTTTTTTCTGAAACTCTCCTGTAAATGGGACACATGAAAAAGAGAGCTGTAAAATCTGGAGTCAGACAGTGGGATTTTGGGTGGGGTTTGGGGGGGTTTTAAAGAATTCTTAAATATCCTGATTTATTCCAGTATTCGCTGCCTCAAGAAGTAGCAATTAACTTCACTGTTTTGAGAGCAATGTGTTCTCATCATGTTTCTGATGTGAATATCTTCACATCAGCTGTATCTCACTGTTCTAAACTCTGTAAAATTTCTTTCAGAGTCTAGAAAATGAAGCTAAAAGAAATTGAGAGAACAGCTGTGCAGGCATGGAGTCCGGCAAACAACCACCCTATTTACCTAGCAACAGGTAAAGTTCTTCACAATTTGTGAGTATTAGAGTATGAATCACAGAAAAATTTTATGTAGAGTTGTATGGATGTTAGCTTTCAACAGTTTCCACCTTGATAGTCTCTGGAAAACTTACAAGCAATATACCAAAAACATTACAGCTTTTATGTTTTTTTAAAGTAAGTGGTAGAGAATTACTTCTATGCCCAACTTTGACATTTTAAACATGAGTGATTTTTCAAAGGTTGAATACATGATTTTTTGATTTCTAATTAAGACTGTATGGACTCCAACACTGTTTGCTGTTCTGTATTACACATATCCTGTGCCTGTGGGGGAAAAATGTTAACACAAGTACTGTTTGTTTAAGGTCACTTGTAGTTGTCTGTCTTCAGTCATAATCATGTGGCTTGACAATCAAATACTATATACCTCTTCTCCCCTAAAGTTGCCTGTTTTGGTTAATATTCCATTTTCAGTACTTTTACAAGACTTCAAGTTTTATTTTGTTGATTTCATTAATTAATCACTCCTCTTACAGCAATTTTATTTCCTGAAGCAGAAAATGAGCCTGTTCACTGAGTTGGCAGTGGGCAGGTTTTTCTGTGTGGAGCTGATGGCTCTGGTGGTTTGGTTGGGTTTGCATGGTAAGGCTTTGGTAGCTGGGGTGGCTCCTGTAAGAAGGTGCTAGGAGCTCCCGCTGTGTCCACTGGTGCCAGTGCCAGCCTCCTTCCAGATGGACCTACTGCTGTCCCAGGCCGAGCCCCGCAGTGGCAGTGCCTCTGGGATAACATCGTTAGTAAGAGGGAGAAAAAATGCCATGTGCAACTGAAACACAAGAGAGGAGTGAGAATATGTGAGAGAAGCAATGCTGCAGTCACCAAGGTCCATGGGCTGGAGGTGCCTCAGGTGCAGAGCAGAGATTCCCCTGCAGCCCCTGGTGAAGACCTCAGTGAGGCAGGCTCTCACCCCCACAGCCCATGGAGGTCCATGGTGGAACAGATACCCAGCTATAATCCACCCCGCTGGAGCAGGTGGATACCAAAGGATGCTGTGACCCCATGGAGACAGTAGCCCATGCTGGAACAGGTTTGCTGGCAGGACTTGTGACCCTATGGGGGACTGAGGTTGGAGCAATCTGTTCTGAAGGTCCACCCCATGGAGGGGAACCACACACTGGATCAGTTTGTGAAGAATTGCAGCTTCTGGGAAGGATTTACATTGGGGAAGTTTGCAGAGAACAAGGCCAGGGTTTTGGTTGAACCAAAGGTCTTGGCTTCAGTTTGCTTTAGATCAGAAGCTGTGTGGTTTCATAAATTGTACTGCTTTTTAATAGTCCTTTGGGCACTTCCCATGCTGTAAGCATCCCTGTGGTAACTGGGGGACAGTTTGCCTGGCAGTGTCCCACTAGGTAATGTTAAATCAGCTTGTAGCTTTTACTCCATAAGAATAAGGAGAAGGAAGGAAGCTACCAGTTTGTGACTGCTAGCTGTCTGTGGGTTGTTCAGGCATGTTTAGTTGGTCACAGTTGAAGAACTTACTCTGTAGAGTAGGTTTGCAAGGTCTGATTAAGACATGTAATGATTGAGGAACAGTATGCAGAAGTACTTGGGATGATAATTGTAGCTGGATTTCATGATGTCAGTGCATTTGTAATTTAGAGAAGAACTTAATATCAAAAGCCATAGTTTCTTGGAGGAGGGTGCATGAGTTGCATCTATACCAAGAAAGTTATCTGTGTAACAGTAACCTTGGTGACCAGAATTTTTTGAAATTAAAAGTTCTTTCAAAGTCATTGTCTTAATTGTTGATTCCTTTTTGTGAGGTGTTCAGACATGTCCTCTTTTGAACTAGTACAACACCAAGATTGTGTTGACTATGAAGAACAGGTTTTCAGTGCTTTTCTCTTTTTTTATCTTGTGCTCTTGGTAAAAATGCCCACTTGTGTTGCCCTTGTACTTCTGCTAGGAACATCTGCCCAACAGCTGGATGCATCCTTCAGTACAAATGCCACCTTGGAAATATTTGAAGTTGACTTCAGGGATCCCTCCCTGGACATGAAGCAGAAAGGAGTACTTCCTGCCTCAAACAGGTACTAGGGGCTCATACTGATGTATCAATTAATGAAACTGAAAAGGGTTTTCTGGTGCAAGAAAGGAGAGGAGGAGATGATGTTTACAGCATATAATGTGATCTTTTGAATCAGTTGACCTCTCTTCAAAAATGGAACATTTTTGTTGATACAGATCATATTGGGTAAAAAAGTAGAGCAGGTAGACTATTAGAGAAATCTAAAATCACTTGTATGGTAGTCAGTCAGTAGAGACATTTTGTATAATGTGAATTTGCTGGGGCTAACAATTCGCCCTGAAGAGACCATAGAGAGAGTGAAACTTACTTTCCAGCTTTTTAAAACAAGATGATTTCTTGGGCTTATCAGTGGGTGACATCTGCCCCCAGCATAAAACACAGCCTGGATTTCTAACTGGCAGGTTTTAAAGGGTGTGAACATATTTTTCAGATAACAGCTCTGGAAATGAAGGCACGTAGATCTCTTAATTAATTTTCAGTAAAGTGTAGGCTAGAGGATTTCACCCATCAAATCCCATATGAAGTCCTAAAAGTTTTAAACAAACAATCAAACAGCCAAAAAAATAGAGATAAGCTCTTCCTTTTTAAATTACCTTGAAAAGTCATTGGAAGGAAGCTTATTTCTTGTTTTTGCATGCGAGAGCCACAGTCCTCTTCTAAAGGAGATGATTGTTTGAAGTGCAGACTCATGGATGTGTTTGATAGGTTGAAATGTGGATGTGAGTTTTGGTAATGAGGAGGGTGTTTTGCTTACCACCGAACATCATGGCCTATGCCAGCATTATTTTCTTCTTATTTTAGGTTTCATAAGCTGATCTGGGGGAACTTTGGAAATGGGTCTGCAGAGTGCTCTGGAGTGATCATTGGTGGAGGGGATAACGGAGTGCTGACAATGTACAGCGTGCACCGCATCTTGGCTTCGAAGGGTGACCCTGTCATGGCCCACACAGAGAAGCATTCAGGTCCTGTTCGAGCCCTTGACTTCAACCCTTTTCAGGTGTGTAACATTAAGATATTAAAGCGAAGTTAATCTCCATGTTAGAAAATACATTCCTCTGTGTATAGATTCATAAATAAAGGAACAAGTTTTAACTTAAGAGGTGCAGTAGTTGTTACACAAGACAGGTTTGAGACTCAGATTTCTGTTCTTTTCACAGCTTTGCCTCTGAATTCCCCTGTATCTATAAAAACATGTCTTGTAATATTGTTACATGTCAAACCATTGTCCTTTCAAAATTAAAACTTTCATTCTTTATTTATGCAGTTGGTGTTTAATTCAGTGGGGCTCTGATCATATTTGAAAGGACTGCAACATAAATGAGGAGTGAACAGAACATGTTTCTTGTGGTAGCACAGAGGCAAATGGAAAATTGTCTGCAGTCGGTTGTGGAAACTTGCATCTTCACAGAAGAAATGTCCTTGATGCCACGCAAAGGCTCAGCTGGCCAGAGATGGTGGCTTCAAGGCCTGTGGCAGAATTTCATCATGATTAACAGCAGCCATCTGCACAAAATAGACACATTTTAGATGTGTTTGTACTATGCTGCAGTGGATGGCACAGAGGCCAGAGCTCTGCTTGGCTTATAATCCACTTAGTATCTTTATGTATGCCCGTGACTGTGAAATGCAGCTCTCATCTCACTTTGGAAGATTTTGGGGTTTTTGCTTCCATTTATTTTTAAGAAATCTGTGATCAGGAATCTCAGCTGAGCTTTTCCTTTGTTTTTCTACAGAGTAATCTCTTGGCTTCCGGAGCCAATGATTCTGAAATTTTCATCTGGGACTTGAATAATTTCAGTGTGCCTATGACTCCGGGGACTAAATCACAGGTAAATGAGTTTTCCTCTGGGCAATACTCGTGCAGTTTTGTATCTCAGTAGGCAAGACAAAAGGATGTGTGTGGACACATCCTAGCCTAGTCAGTCTGTGAAATGGGAATGACTTTGAAGTCTGTCAGGAGAGAGATGAATCAGAAAAGACTGATTGGTTTCATTCTTGGGGGTGGAAGAAGTGTTGTAAAGGGAGGGGAGGTAGACTGGCAAGCTCTGGAAGGATGCGCTTTGCATGGATGGGTAAGCTCTTTGTGGATTTGAATCAAGTAACTGACCAGTTTATCTTGTGATCCAGCTGGGGCATGTGTGATGGATTAAGAAGGTTTATTGGACCTTCTCTGAGGAATGAATTTATTTCAGGCTTCAGCTGAGGCTTTTCATATCTCATGAAAGTCATATCCCTAGCAGAGCCAGTGAGCCATTAAATGCATCTTGGCTATTGCTCCTAGGTAATATTTCCCGAGTTTGAAGAGGAAGAAGTTTCTGATCTTCTGATGCTTATTATATTATTCAGGGCAATCAACTCCTGAAAGTAGAAAATTTATAGTAAACTTCAGTAAATGCAGGCCAGTTTTTTCCTCCTGTAAGTCTCCTGTTTGTTTCCTTGCCTATCTCCTGCATTGCAGTAGATACAGTAACAGCAATTAGTCATGAATACTTCATTGTTTTCCGTCTCACTTCACTCCTGAAATGTTGCACAAGGTCATTTTTCCATTTAAGTTCATCTGAGAAGTTTGGGTAGAAACATATATGTGTGCTTAGCTGTAGTTCTCTTTGGAGTGATTTATAACACATTTGGCCTATGTAGAATCCAGTGCCTGTTCCTCAAATGCAGAGGTACTTTTCCAGGTGACATTCCCCTATAGAGTTTTACTGTCCACTGTACTCTGAGTAAAGGACTTTCCCTAGTCTTTCTGGTTAGTGCTGCTGGTATTTCCAGTTAGATGATCAGCAATTGAAGAGAGGAATCTATGTATCATCAAATCCCTAATCCCTCAGTTAAACTATTGACAGACTCCTGTGAGTGTTCCCTCAGCTTGGGAATAATGGATGTGTGGCTTTTCCTGTCTTGGCAGCCACATGAAGACATCAGTGTGGTGTCCTGGAATCGGCAAGTGCAGCATATCCTGTCCTCCGCTCACCCCAGCGGCAAGGCTGTGGTTTGGGACCTCAGGAAGAATGAGCCCATCATCAAAGTCAGTGACCACAGCAACAGAGTGAGTGGAGAAAAGGCTGCATTTCTAACTAGCTTACAATGTGCCACATGTGACTACAAAGCAGTGGCACAGACTCTTGGGACAAGTGTATTTATTCTAGGAACTGTTGGAACTAGTTCTCTTGGAGACGTAGCATCAAAGCACCTCTTTTTCTTCTTTCCTGAGTGACATGGGGAAACAAGACCCCTTACTGTTCTTAAAATTCATGCACTCTTGCATTCCATTTCCATGTTCACAACTCATTTTTGAGAGGCCTCCCAGCTTTCTTTCTAGGTCAGCTTTGGAATTTGACTTCTGTGTGGTTAGTGGGGTTTCTTTTGCTGTGAAGAGACAGTAGAACTACTTGCTGCCTGGAGCAAGACATTACTAGACTTGGTTTATGTCAAGCATTCTAGGCGAGTTCAGTACAGAATGACATGGCTTTGGCCCATTTGTGCTTTTGCCAACTTGCATTGCTGAATTTCCAGCCTGTGCTATTTTTGTCCCTAGATGCATTGCTCAGGAATGGCCTGGCATCCAGAAGTTGCAACCCAGTTAGTCCTTTCCTCTGAGGATGACCGTTTGCCAGTGATCCAAATATGGGACTTGCGCTTTGCTACCTCTCCTCTTAGCCAGCTGGAAGGGCACACCAGGTGAGGACTTGCATGTTGTGTTGCATCTTTTCAAGGCAGATAGCTGGGATTCTAGACTTTGGGGAGCTATGATTTTCTCCTGGGCCTGCTTTCTTTCCCAGGTGAATCTGGTTGAAGGTAGAGATGAGAACTAGCATTTCTGAGCCAAGGTGCTGGTGCATGGTGCTTTCTTAGTGACTGGATGGCAGAACAAACTATACAGGAAATATGACTGATTTCTTTCTGATCTATTTTAGGGGAGTTCTCTCTGTTTCTTGGTGCCAGGCTGACCCTGAACTGCTGTTGAGTAGTGCCAAAGACAACCGGATCTTGTGCTGGAACCCAAGTCTGGGGGAGGTGTGTAACCACAACTATCAATACGCATGGTCTGCTTTATATTGTGTACTTTGTTGTGTGTGTGTCCTTCCCTTTATCCTTGTGGAGTGCCAATGTAATTCCCTCAAGCATGTCTTGTACACTCCTTTCTGAAGTGAATGAGTGTGGTCCATATCCAGACTGAAATAGGTTTTTGCTGATACATCTTTGTCCAGGTATCAGAGAGGGAAGAAAACTTTTAATTAAAATTTAGTTTAAACAATTTATGATTACTCTTGCTATGCTCACACTTTAGTGTTCTCTCTTTCCATGTGCTTCTTCTTTTTCCTTCTCCTAGAGTAGCAAGTTCATTTGGGAGGAAATTTGAAGCAGACCAAGGAGCATATGTTAGAGAGGGTCACTGAAAAGGGAACAGTGTAGTTAAACAATGCATGTAGACTTTATTTGTAGTAAAATGGTTTCATGTGTATGTGCTTATCCAGTCATGTATCTCAGAATTACCATACTTGGTATATTTATGTATCACCTGAATTTAAGGGGGGCTGTTTAAAATTTTTTATTGCACACCCATTCATTCAATGTGGAGATCCTGGATAAAACTGAACTTTGGACAATGCAGTTGATCTTGATGATAGCATGGGGAAAGTGCTCTAACAATACTGAGCAAAGTCCAGATGGGAGCCACATGCTAGATTAATTTAATGGGACAGTATCACTCAGCTGACCACTTTTGCCTTGGAGACAAGGAAAAAAAATAATCTGTTTTCCTAAAATGCATGCAATGCTGCTTTTGTAGTTTCATGGGATTTGATGCTCACTTAGTCTAGATCTCTAGTGGTTAGAAGAGATTCAGACTCTGAAATGTTCCTGATGTCTAATTTTTATGAAAATATTTGCATTGTCTTTTAGTAGAAAACTTAAAAAAAATTAGTGTGGCTGACTAATTTTTATGCATGCTGCTCTAGATTTGCAGAATCCAAATTAAAATTAGACTTTTGTGTATAAACTACTTTTAGGGGGTTCTTTTTGACTTGGTACCAATGAACAGCAAATTTTCAAGTGAAAAAGTTGGGAAGCTTTGCAGTATTAAGGATTAATATAGTTATACAGAATGGCTGATCTCATAAGTTTGAGGGAAGTATTGGTTACTTTGGGTTTGGGGGATGTTTGGTTTCTTGGGATTCGTTTTTAGTTTTTCTGTTTGGCAATCTAGATTTTCATATAAGCAAATTATATTAATTTGCTCCTATCTGGAACAGAAAACACAGATCATGTTCCCACAGAAAATGAAGCTGTGATTGTCTATGCTTTGTTTCTGTAAACCATAAAGGAAATATGTTCATTTTACATATGGGAGGTTTAAAATCAAGGTTGTGTTAATGAGTTGCTCAGCATCAGGCAGGAAGTCTGTGACTGGGCCATGAATTGAACTTTGGCTTTTTGCATGCTGAACCATAAACTTGTTGGCTGCAATGTCCTTCATAGTTCATGTGCAGCTATTACATTCCTCTCATTCTATTTCTTTTTCTTTAGGCTCTTTATTTTCCTTGTCACATTTGTTACTCCACACTATTCTTTCTGTGTTCTTGCTCATGACACATTCTTGCCTCTTGACTTCTGTTTTTATTGTGTTATTTTCTGGCATCTCTCCCTTGATTAACAGAAAATGTGACAATGCTATAGTACTCTGATACAGTAGTACTCAGAAAGCAGAGCAAAAGTGACTTCTCACTTTTGGATTTTTGTTCTACAGTCAGAGAATATCCAGTTTAACATGAGTTTTCTGTGATTTTCAGCTATTTGGACTCAAGGTGTTATAATTTGGTTTCAAATGCACCCTTCAAGAAGCAAAAATAAGAGATTTGTATGCAATGGTGACATGTAACCAAAGTGACAGGCTTGCTGTGAGCAAGTAATTTGGAAAAAGCAGGAGACTATTTGTGTTGTGCTCCTATCTTCTCTCTTTCTGTGATAGGTGGTGTATGAGTTGCCCATTCGGAGTCAGTGGTGCTTTGATGTCCAGTGGTGTCCTAGGAATCCTTCAGTCTTCTCTGCTGCCACTTTCGATGGGTGGATCAACATTTATTCTGTTATGGGTGGGAACTTAGAAGCTCAGCAGAAAACACAGGCTGACAAGGTAAAGTCCTGTGACTGTGTTAGACTTTGACAGACTGGCAGTTTCTCTCATGACTGCTCAGAGTGGTGGAAGCACACGTGTGTAACAGGGTCACTTTTAAGTGATGTAGTCTCTCCACACCCCTGGACCTATGGCTGTATGGTGTGGGAACCAGAAGCTACCTGTGTGGGGGTTTAATGATCCCATCAGCTGCCAAAGAGAGCCACGTTGCCTCTGACAAGGTGTGTAAAGAGAACCAAGAGCAAGTGTAGTTGTGATGTTAAGATACATTTTATTGTTATTACTGTTAGACTAAAAATAAAACAGTACACAAGCTTTTCTTGTCATTAGGTTAACATTAAATACATTGATACTAATTAATAGGATATGTTATTCTTCATTAGTTTAGAAGGTAATTTTATAAAGTGACTTATAAACCACTATTAGCAATTTTTCTCAAGTCTTTTGACTACAACTTTGAGCATGTTAATATTTTTGATATTGAAACCCATTACTTAGCTAATTAATAGATGAGCAAACTCTGAACAGATTAAATGTCACTACTGTCTAAAATTTTAGTTTTAATCTGCTGTCTAGTCTTTTAATTCCCTCCCCTCCCAGCCAACAAATGCCTTACAATACAGGTTTTAAGAGAATACATATGAACTGGCTTAAGTGTTATTTATGTAGTCATTTACAACTGACTGAGTTCAGTTTCATAGGATTTGCAAGAGACAGAAAATACTTTATCAAGCAACAGCTGCAGGAGATTAAGGATTTATTTAACCCATGGAGAATTTTCTTTCTCTGCATTCTTCATGCGTATGCACCACAATTCCACTGTTCAAAATTGGGGAACAGTAGTGTTGAATAATTCCTGAATAAATTGAATGTCAAGAACACAAGCAGGAGATAATGACAGTTATGGTGGCAGGGAGTTCATGACCAAGAGGTCTCTCTCTTATGAATTCAATAGTCTCAGGGCAGAAACTCTATTGCACACCTGGTTGTGTATATTTTTCTTTAAGGTTTAGGGTATTTGATATGTTGGATATAAGCTATTCCTCAAGAACTATTCTTTCTTTGGAATTGGTTTCCTCTGAAGAAAGACAAAACATTGCCTGTGATTCTAAGATTTGGCAACCTTAGCTTGATCAGCCTGATGTTGCTTCTTTTCAGGTATGCTGGTTAGCTGAATTATAAAGCTATTCCCTATGGTCCAGTCAAACTTGAACTGGATTATCTATAGCAAACAACAAATCTATGCAACCATGGTTAAAAATGAAAAATGCTTGTGAACAGCATTGTATGTATGTTCACTGACTCTCTAAATTTAAGAAATCTGGCTCAGGGGCCACTTTTGATACTCTTTTGTCTAGACAAGAAAGTTTTTCATCAGTCTCATTGAAGCCAAAAAAGCTTGAGACAGTCCTTGAAACTAACCCATTTGAAAGACTCCAGCACAAAAAGGGAGTCAAAATTCCTTTGTGATAAAAAATAAGAAATAAGTTGGAAAACTTTTGACCACATGTTGTCACTATCTTGCATAAAGCAAGTAATTTTGCAACTCCTCTGTTTGAGCTGGGTGCTAGGCCTAGCAATGTTTTTTTAGGAAATTTGCATCTTGCTAAGGAAAAACCACTTGAAAATCTCTTAGGGTAAAACTTTCTTGAGAAACGATTGCTGGAACTGTTTTGAAATGCCATTTCTCTTGCACAGGGACTTGGTGGTATTCCAGAAAGAGGTGCTGTACTAGCCTCATTTTTCATCAGTGTGGAAAGTAACTAGTTCCTAAGCAACAGTTTTTTGTACTTAATCCATGCAGAGAGGAATTGAATTATATTTTCTTCTCATTTCCATCTGATTCTAGATCTCTTCCTCCTTCAACAACCTGGATCCCTTTGGCACAGGACAGAGCCTTCCTCCTCTGCAGGTGCCAGAGCAAGTAACTCAGACCACCTTGATTCCACCATTAAAAAAGCCACCCAAGTGGATTCGCAGACCTGTGGGGGTTTCATTTGCAGTAAGTGAATGGAACATCCTTAGCTGAAAATGCAATACATGTGTTGTCTTGTGACACAATCCTTTGCTTTCACTGGAGAAACATGTATCTTCCTGTTGCTAGTTGTTTTAATGCCTGTTTAAGGTGCATTGTGGTCTCCCATGAAGTGAAGTTTGTTTACTCTCAATATTCAGATATATTTCCAACAAGAAAGGGTCCTGTAGCAGAGAATGGGAGATTATAAGTAGAAGTTAACAAAATCAAAGAAAAATTTGTAAAAGCTGTCCTTGCAGGCTGGCATGTATTCCCATTCTCCTCTGTCTGTCTCTTTCCTATCCAGGCATTTAATTTTCCTCACATCTTTGCTCCTAAATTGGATGGCTGAATTGTTCTTTTAGCCTGTTGCTTGACTTGTTCTTTGTTTGTCTAGTGCCTGCTCTTCACCTGATAGTTTTTATCAGTGCAGTCTGCCTCTCCATGTAACAAAAGAACTAACAGTTCTGTTCAATGGCACTTTTTCCTCTGTGCCTCTCTGGCACTTGCAGTTGGCTAGGCCTGATGGGATACACACAAGTGTCAAATTTATCAGTGTTCAGTTCAGCCGAAGGGCTCATAGTGAGACCTCCCTCAGTGCTCATCCCATCCATGCACACTAAACTCTTGGGTTCCTTATGATCACTGCTGGAGCTTGGGTCTGCCTTGCTAAATGAAGAACTCTGTTTATAAGAATACTTACTGTGTCTCCCTCTGTCATTCTCAGTTTGGAGGAAAACTGATTACCTTTGGTCTTACCAAAGCTCCTGGACAGCAAATGCAGCAGACTTACCCACACCAGGTATTCATCAGTCAAGTCACTACTGAAACTGAATTCCTACTCCGATCCAAGGAGCTGCAGATGGCTTTGCAGTCAGGGAACCTCCTTGATTACTGCCAGGGCAAGATCCAGACAGCCAAGTTGCCATTTGAGGAGAACCTTTGGAACTTCTTGAAGGTAGGATGGCTGTGGTGAAATACAGAGGTCAGTTCTACTATGATCCTGGGATAGAATATGGTCCTCTCTAGCCCTTTATATTCCTGTTCTTTAAAATATAAAATGGATTTGAATGAATATGCTTATTATTTTTCTAAAGAAAGTTGAGGTGCTGGAGATTGTCTTGGTTTTCATTAGGAATGGTCTTTTCAGTGGACTTATTTGGGCTTCCTGAAACAGGATCTTTTCATCTCAACACACTACCAAAATATATCTGCCTGCAACCTGTGGAGCTGTACATTATTATTATTTTTCAAGGTGAAATCTGAATGGACAATGACATGCCCTAGAACTAAGGAGAGAGCTGTGCTGGCATGAGGACTGACTAGCCTTCATGGACAATTTGGTAGCATGAGAGTTTGGTAATAAGAAGTTGTCCTTCTGAAGAGGCAGAGCTTAGTCTTGGCAGTGGGTTACAGACACTTGTAGCAGCCTGTGTGGAGGGCAAAATATTGAGATACTTGCTATTTTATTATATTTGAGTGGGGAATCTTGAACAGGATGGCCAGCTGTCAACCTAGGTGGTGAAAGTGGTCTCCATTGCAACAATGTCTTCAGTTGCATTAAATGAGACACATCAATCTGTCATTTTTTGTCACCTTTTATAATCCATCTGGTGTGTGCTCCTGAGAGACTGCTTCAGCACATAAACATGTATTACAATTGACTATCTTAAACTATAAACTAGGCTTCTGTAGAAAAGTGTCCTGCAGCACATTCCTACTTCTGCAGGAACAGCTTCTGAAATGGACTCTTTACAAGTATCTTATACATGTACAGTTTGATCATTTATGTAGAAGAAGCAGCATGGGACTTAACTGAGACAGATTCTCATTGCAGAATGTAAATCATGCATTAAAGCATATAAATAGTGCCTGCCATTTTGACTGTGTGCTGCCTGTGGGAATTTTGGGGAGTGTCTGAAATCCTCACCCAGGGAGCTTCTGTAACAGTTAACTAATTCTTGTGAAGCCAGCTAGCAATTCAGGCAACCACCTTGTCTGAGTTTCATCCAGATTCAAATCAATCAATTTTCTTTATTAAGAGATTAGCTTGGCAATTCCTAGACTATCCAGGGAATTAATGACCAAGTACACTAGGTATGTATACAGTCATGGTCTTGATACACAGTTGTACCTCAGTTGTAACTGTGGCAAACTTGAGTTTTGCCCTTTTATCATGATTGTAACTTAAATTCCATACATCTTTACACAGTAGTTACAAAGTGGACTGTTCATAGTTGAATTCTTTATCTATAAACTGAGCTCTGAACTTTGCTGCTGTCAGTGTATAGATGTCTATGATTTTACATATTTTTTTGTCTTTTTAATATCCATTGGCACTCAGGTGAATTTGGAGCAGGAGGCAAGGGCTAAACTTCTCAAGCTGCTGGGCTACAGTAAAGAGGATCTGCAAAAAAAGGTAAGGGGTATTTTCAATAGATAGAAACCTTTACAGGACTAAAGCTGCTGCAGGGGAGTTGTAGGGTCCTGCTGGAACTGAGTAGGTGATCTCATAGCACACAAATGACCAAAGTGTGTGAAATTTCAGCTGGGAGTCACATGAAGTATACCCTACTACAAAGCAAATGCAAGCACTTGTAAGGGTGTAACTGTAGCTGTACTGAATCAAGCCAAAGGGATCTTGAGCCCAGTTATCTTGTTTTCAGTTGTTGGTGCACTGGGCAGTGTTCAGCAACAGTGCAGTTGTGAGAGCTTCTTTTAGCATTCAGCTCTCTATCTCAGGGGATTCTTCAACCAGGAAGAAGGTGACAGGTGGGGACAGTCTGGCATAGTACTGATGGATAATGCTCTGAAAAGGATAAATAGTCACTGATAGGCAGCCAGCCAGGAATAGGGTGAGGTGGAAGTTTTCAAACAGGTGAAAGAGTTCAGGGAATTGTGTGTGAGACTTGCCAGTCTCTTGGTAGTTTTGCTGTCCAGGTGCTTACTTTGCTTTATTCTATGTGTGTCTTACTTTTCCAGATTGCCTCATGTTTGAGTAATGGGATCCCAGATAAACAGCCCCTTCCTGAGGCAGGTGATACAAATGCTGCACCAGATCAGGTATGTCCTCTACATCTTGCCAGCTTGGGAGAGCAGAGGAGGGCAGAATGAACTGGAAGGTCTAATTCCAGCCACAACTCGGGCTCAATGCTGGCATTGCAGAGGGCAGTTCACAGGCCTGTCAGACCCTCACAGGGTCAGCCTAAATGATAATTTCCCTTCTGGCTTTAAAACTAACCAATGAACAATGAAAAACTCTTGGCTGTTATTCCTGCAATAAGGTTTGCTTCACCTGTGTTGATTTCTTCAGTGATACAATTAGCCTCACCTCAGCTTAACTTGAATCTACTGTTCTGGATTTCCTCTGTGCAGCTTCTGCTGTGGTTTTTCTTTCTTTTTCACCTCTATCCTCTGGAATGAATTTTCACATAATTTTGGGATGTCAATCTTCAGATGCCTTCCAAGGCCTGGTTCACTGTAAATTTTTCTCCTCTGAGGTATCTAAAATTTATATCCTCTGATTAGTAATCATCTTCACAAGCCTCAAACACTGGCTGAGATATTCTAGGAGTTGCAATTGTTTTCTGCATTTCAGTAAAGTACCACACTTGGCTGTGATCCAACCTGTTATTTACAGATTTTACTTGTTGTTCTTGTCTCTGTTCCATCTAAAATAGTTCAGCTTGCTCAAGGGCTGACTGTTGAGTTGACGAATGCTGCCCAGCAGTGCTGTTGGTATTGCATGTCTTGCACCATCAATCTCCTAAGCTTTGCCAATTGCAGCACTGCTCTTGTTGCTTCCCTTGTGAAACTGTGCAGATTTATTGTGCAGTGACAGGAGTTTCCAAATTGAAATTAGATTTATATGAGCATGCACAACCAAATGGAGAGCAGCCCCATCCCACCCTGTAATCCACTGAACTGTTTTGGGTAGAATATATGTGTGCAGTGAATGAAATAAGCTCTTTCACTTTTTGCACAGCTTTTGATGAATTCCAGCGATGATGTAGCTGCTGTTTCTTCCTCTTCAGCCTTTTTTGATAACCTCATCCCACAGAATATGAGCATATTGGAGATTCCTGTCACAGAAGGTATGTTTCATAAAGAGTGTATCTGCCCTTTTAAGAAAAGGGGAGAGGAGGGAAGCCCAGAAAATTTAGAGACCAGAAGGAATCTTGTTCACTCCAGCAGATGGATACTTTTAAAACATATGACCCCTTCAAGTGTTATGCAGCATATCGCATTGAGCATAGAAACACTTCTCCCAGGTGAGAGACCCATTAAAAATATAGAAGAATCTTCTAGATGATGGAAGACTTAGAGTCAATTCAGTGGCTTTTTTTTGAGTTTCCAAATTTTCTTTGCACTGTTACTGCTTTTTACTGACTACTCTTTAAAACAAGCATCATCAATGCTTCTGAGTGATGACTCTTGGGGTTGACTTTGCTTCTCACCTCTGTAGATACAGATGGACTCATCAGCCAGGCCCTTTTGTTGGGGAATTTTGAGGGTGCAGTGGAGCTGTGCATGCGAGCAGAGCGCTTTGCTGATGCCATCATCTTAGCTATAGCTGGTGGGGATAACCTCCTAAAGGAAACCCAGAAGCGCTACTTTGCCAAGCGGAAAACAAACCTCTCTGTGGTAAGTGATGGTTTTGTGTACACAGTGAGCAGGGGAAGGTGTGCACTGTCTTGCCAAATGTTTCTCTGAATATATGTGGAAATGCTTTTTCTTCAATGAAGGAAGTGGAATGTAAGCAGAATCTGTGCATCTCCTATTGCATTTACTCTAATATCTTGGTAGTTTTATGACAATCTTATCTACACAGTATGTCTTTGTACTCTATTCCTTTTTTTTCATGGTTTCTGTCTCAGCTTCTCATGCTTGCAGCCTGTGGTGCATATGGCCCCTTTGCAACTCAACTAGGAAGTTCATAGCTTGTTAATTTACAAACAGGGAAGTGTAACAAAGGTTGGGATATCTTAACACTGTACTCTCAGTCATTGATACCAGCTGCTCTGAAACAAGATATGCGTTAGATCTTGATTCTTGTCTAGTGCGGCTGTTTCCATATTCTTTTAAGTGCTTTCTTGGGCTTTTTTACTTTCCTTAGAGGCATCAGGTTCCAGTTACTGTTAACATTGGGATGCTGAGATTGTTGGGCCTTAATGTACAGTGAGGTAGTCTCTGCATGGTGGAAAGCATGTTTGAAAGTGAGCTGTTGTTTAGACTGTCAGCTTATCTTTTTCTTCAGTGACTGTCAGGCCTTCTGCTTCCCTTACAGCTGCTTTCCTGCATTGTGCAGCAGAACTGGCAAGATATTGTTTGCACGTGTGATTTACAGAGCTGGAAGGAGGCACTGGCCATCTTGTTAACATACTCAAAGCAGGAAGACTACACTCATCTCTGTGGTATGCAGTATACTATGTTTTGATATAATTTCTCTTGCAGAGGGTACCTCTGGGCTGCTTACAGAAAGAAGTGGATAGACTTAAGAAAAGGAACCACTTCTTAGTCGTTACAGTTATCTGGAACTTAAATAAGTGTGGACTGTTGAGTTAGGAGAGTGATAGGTGCACACTGTAGTTGAGAATCATGGTGTAAACTTGTCTGTGTGGGTATTTTCTGTGACCTCTAGAAGTAGCATAGAAAAAAAACAGGATAGGTGCTATGCCTAGGCTGAGTCATGAAGAGGGTGATTTTTATTCCATAGAGTAGGGCATTTCATTTGCAGTAAAAGGTCCAGTGGGCTTAATTCCACCTAAAACACGTTTCAGCACCCTACAGTTGCCTGGAGATTCCCACACCTCTTTTGGAAATTGAAAAAAAAAGTGTTGGATTTTTTTTTCACTAAATTCTTTTGTCATTTCTTTCTTTTATGTGTTTGGGCAGACATAAAAATTGGCAGATGTAGAAAAAATTTTTTTTCAACCAGGTTTGCTCTTGGTTTCCTTCCCATTTCTCTGTTATTCAACAGTTATGCAATGGAGCTGGTGAAGGGTCTAGATCCCAAGTCTTATGAGGAGCAGCTGAGGGAACTGGGGATGTTAAGCATGGAGAAAAGAAGGAGTGGAGGGACCTTACTGCTTTCTACAGCTACCCAAAAGGAGGTTGTACTTCTCTGAAATAGCAAGTGATAGGAGAAGAGGAAAACAGCCTCAAGTTGCACCAGGGGAGGTTTAAATTGGGCATTAGGAAAACCACCTACACTCAACAGGTTGTCAAGCTTTGGAGCAGGCTGTCCAGGGAAGTGGTAGAGTCGCCATCCCTGGAAGTTATTTAAAAAACAAGAATATGTGGCACTTAAAATCTTGATTTACTGGGACTTGGCAGTGCTAGGTTTATAGTTAGACTCAATCTTAATGTTCTTTCCTGTTCTAAATTATTCTATTATTCTAATTAGGTGCATTTTTAAAGCACTGGGGTTAACGAGCTCTTCCAAAGGAGAATGTGTTAAGTGTTGGCTACATCTCTTCCTCTCTAGACATGCTGGGTGCCCGCCTGGAGTCAGAGGGAGATGCAGCCCTGTCCAATGATGCCTGCCTCTGCTATATCTCATCAGGCAATGTGGAGAGGCTGGTGGAATGCTGGGTAAAAAACCATGAGACTTCATCACCCCTTGCCCTACAGGTACAGGCACTATGATGTTGGTTTGACTCCTCTTTAGGCCAGTCTGGTAGCCCTGAACTGTTTGCATTTTCCCATTAGGGTATTTGGCTTCCAGTGGACAGGTCTCCTTCTCGACTGGATTATGGGCCTACTTTGAAAGGAGGCTTGCACTCTGAATCAGGGTTTGTGTGTTTACTTTGCACATAAATCCAGCCGTGGACAGGAGTTACTTGCCTCACATACTGATGCCATCACTGAGCTTCCTCTTGGTCAGGGAAGTTTGAGCTATACCTTCTTTTTTACCGGGATACATTTGCTGCTGTGCTTGTCCTGTATAACTTAATGCTGCAGTTACCGGCTGTACCTTCAGAGCAGCCTTAGCAAAATAAGATGAAGTCTGGATCATGATATTCCCACTGCAAGTAGAATGATCACATATGGGAAGTCACACCTTGCAGATAGATCAGGACTTCTAAGTCAACATTGTTATCTCCCTTTCTTCATTCCTATTGATTATTTCACAGAATCACAGAATAACCCAAGTTGAAAGGGACCCACAAGGATCGAGTCCAGCTCTTAAGTGAATGGCCCATATGGGCCCATATGAATCCCATCTACCGCACAACCTTGGTATTACCAGCACCATGCTCTGACCAACTGAGTTAATCTCAGTAATCTGTTACACTTAAACCAGTCCTGGCTTGGTCACTAAGTCCAGTCCTGTTGTGTCTGTCACTTGCTAGACAATGAGCTAGACTAGTTTTACACTTGGATATCTGCAGATTATGCCCTCTGCTACGGAGTTCCCAGGTTTTGAAATCCCACTACTGAGTAAAAGCAACAAAAAGGCATCTTCAGCACTCCTGGTTGTTTCTGAAACTGGCCTCCTCCTGATTCCCATATATCAGCATGTTTCATTCTACAGCTGTAAACACTGCTTTCATTTCTATGATTTGAAGGAGTTTTGAGTAACTAAAACCCTTCTGGTCCTTTTGCCAGCAGTACTAGTTTTTTCTAGTGAATTTCTCTTGGTATGGTTTTAAGCCTTGCTCTTCCAAGTTGATTGCCTGTAACAATAGTAGCTTCCTAGTAAAATGACACAGTTGTTTGAAACAACCTTGTGGCTTCTGATTTTCTTTTTTTCCCTTACTATTAAAGAAGCAATGTCTTCTTTAAGTAAACCAGGGTTTGCTTCCTGGTTCCTGTTTTTCTCCAAGTGCATCTGAGGAAATGGTCATCAGTGACAGTATTTGGTGCAGAGGGGGAGTAACTTCTGTCCACATTGGCCCTGATGTTACTGAAAGTGGGGAAAGCCATCTGGTATTGTCTCAGCATGAGATGGACCAGTAAACTAGTCAGATTCTGAGTAATCTTATTTCTTCCTTCCCCCTGGATTATTCAGGATCTTATAGAAAAGGTGATGGTGCTGAGCAGGTCCACTGAGATGCTCCGAGGCACAGCAGGACCAGCACCAGGCCCTGTCTTGGCAGAACAAATCACCCAGTATGCCAGTCTCCTGGCATCACAAGGATGCTTGGCAGCTGCAATGAATTACCTACCCAGCAGCTCTAAAGAGGTGAGTGAGCAGCAAGCTGTTGTGGGAAAGAGTAATATAGGGAGGGAAATTGTATGAGAGAGAGCTGGGTTTTTGTCATGCATCAGGACTTAAAGTTTCACCTTAGTTATGCTAACTTGAGAATAAAGGGGGAGGGGAGAAGGAATTCCAGGATATGGAATATTTGCATTTTCTTTGTAGTGCTTTTGATTCAAGGAAAAGGAAAGAGTTATAGAACTGTAAAATGGTTGATGGAGAACAACATTGGGAACCAGCTTGTTAGGGAAGCTGCTTCTCTTCTTGAAATTAGATGGTAGAGGAAGGTGCTGTGTTTCCCCCGAATGAGGAGGTCACCTGGCAGTTTGAAATAAATTCATCTAGTGCCTAAATGTGGGTAGGGGTTGGGGAGGGAATAATATAAAGACTGGGGGAAGAATCAGGGAGCCTTCATCTGCCTGATAGTATGGCAGGTGATGTCCTGGATTGTCATTTTCCATTTGTTGAGGTTTTTTTCCTCATGACTGTTGGGGACATGGTTAGTTTTGCAGTTTGATTCATGGTGCTTTAGGTCAGGGTCTACTTTAAATGCCTCCTCAGTATTTTCCAATTCTTCTAAAGCATAGTTTGTTTCAGCTCCTGATTGAACAGCTCCGAGACCGGCTCTTTCATGCTCAAGGAGAGAACGTGGGTAATCAGCAGCCACCCCCTTTTCCCTACACTCGTGTCAATGTAGGGGTCGTTAAACCCACAGCAGCCAAGGGTGGTTCCGTCCTTGAAGGAGCAGCCCACAAAGCAGGTCCCAGACATCCAGAGAAGGTAGGCCCTAAACTCAGGTGTTCATGGCTTGGGAAGAGGGAGGAAGGCTACTGGGTTGTGGAAGGCATATGAAGTAGTATGAGATGACATAAACTGTAGACATTGAGGAATTCTCATTGATGACCTTCACTGGAGCAAATGCAAGCTCTGTGACGATCCAAAAGTAAGCTGTCTGGCATCTTTTCACAAAGCCCTGTCCTACAAGCAGTCACTGGAAGAGAATGTTATAGGTGTAGTGATGCACTGAGATCTCAGATCTTAGGGTGAAAGGGGCTGGGGTAATTTTCCTGTGCTCATCTTACCCTGATATCTTAGTAAAATTAGTGTAGTATGGCTTCATGGCTTCATCTCAGTTCTTGCACAAGATTTTGCAAAGTTTTGCTTCCAACCTCTATTATTCCATAATTGTTCCTTCATTATTTCCTCCTGGTTGTGCTTCCAGGAAGTCATTATATGTCATCTTGCTCCTGAGGACTAATCCTTTTGAGAGCTGGAGGGTACTCTGAAGAGTGTGGTGCTCATATTGTCGAGCAAATTATGTGATCGGAAAGGCCTTTGATCAAGTGCATTCAGGGCACCAACAGCAGCAGCAGCAGCTTCTGTTGCCTGAAAAGTGACAGGGATAGAAATTGCATCTGCCAGTATTGCGTATGCATATGAATGTCGGCCATTTGCATGTTCTTTGTTTTTTAATTGCAGCCCAACTATCCATCATCCTTTGCCCCTTCAGCACCACCTCAGCCTTCAGTGCCTTCCCTCTTCACACCTCAGCCAGTGCCAGCCATGTCTGTGACACCTCACCACGTTGCCCCTCCCCAGGCCAGCACGGGTCCACAAACAAGTGTCTATTCCAGAGGGCACCCTTATCCACAGTACAACTTGGGCTTGAATCCAGCACCTGTCTCAGGGCCAGGTAAGCACTGTCAGATAGTTTTCTCCATTTCTAGGTTCTCTGGGACTAAAGCCTTCAATGTGGGTGGCTGCTCTAGTTTTTTCTTCACAGGCCTATTGGGAGCAAGTCAGCTGTCTAAAAGGCTTTCTCAGTGCTTCTGACAGATGTAGTTTTAGTAACTGTTGCTGCATATGTGCTGATACTAAGCATATATTGGGGTGGAAAAGCCACAGCTGGTTTGGTGGCAGTTTCACTGATACAGCCTGGGCTAGGGGGGCACGGATATTAAAGGGCATGGCTTGAAGAAGGGAAGGCTTATTACCAAGAAGGATAGTGTTATGAGTAGTTGGCACGTGAAACAAGTGATGCTGATACACTCTCTTTGTTGTCTGTAGCTGTGTCACAGTCTCAGCCATTTGGACCATTGGGAGTTAGACCTGTTGGTCCTGCTCCTTTCTCCAGCCAGCCCTCTCTGCCAGGACAGTTGATGCCCATGACATCTCCTGGTGTTCCAGCACCCAGACCTGCCCTCTTCACTCCAGCCTCAGTCCCATCATCTCAGCTTCCTGCAGCCTGCCCTCTCCCTGTGGCAAGCCAGTCTCCTCTAGACTTCTCTTCACCACCTTTCAGCTGCCCCATGAACATGGGTTATCCTCAGGGAGGTCCAGGAGCCCCATCTACTAAACCACTGCCAGCAGCCATTCCTCCTCCTCCCACGGGTAAGTACTGCTTGTGTGACTTGTGTGTCCAGGACAAGCCTAGGTGGGGTTTTCAGTGTGTAATGGACATGGATCTTCTGAGGTCTGGTCTGTCTCCATTAAGGCTGGATGTGATGTTGAGGCAAACCTTACAGGCAGAGAGTGCTGAGTCTTGCTGTGGTGGTGAAAGACAACAATGGTGACAGCTTCTTTCAGCCTGCTCAGTTGCTCTGAACAACACAACACCAGGTTGTGTTTGCAAGATGATGTCTCTTCAGGGCCTCAGAGCACCCTGAATAGTCATCTCCTCCAAAGGCATCTGCTCTGATGGAAAGGGGTGGTGGTTCCCATGGAACGCTTGATGGAAGGTTTGCTCATCTCGCCCTTGCTCAAGCAACTTACATTAGAAGTGTAATGAAATGGTGGGAGAGCTTTCCTGTCCATGAGATATTCTTTATTTAGCTTCAGGATTAAATTCATCTGTCTGCTGTGCTCTAGTGCTACCATTTTCTTCCTGTTGTCATAGAGGGCTTGATTTGGGAATCACTTCTGATTCCTCTCTGCAGTGTTTTAGACCCCTCTGCGTCTATAGTTTGAGTCCCGTCTATTGTGTGAAGTCCTTGCTAGCATGATGAATAGAAAGAGTATTGTTGGACCTAGTTCTCCATGGATAGGTATTCCTTCTATTTCCTAGAATAGCTGGTGTTTATTAATTCTCTGTTTACTGTCTCAAGGGACAGGCTTAGCCAGGCTATGGAAATCCCTAACAATAAGGCTGATAATCCATAGATTTTTGAGTAGATGCTTCTCCAAGCCACATGTATGCTGAGAGTGAAGGAACTGAGGCTATGATGTTTGCCTTCACCTGAAATCCTTTGCTGACCTGTGTTATCCAAGAATAGCAAATCCCACTGTGTGAAGTTTGTGGGGACTACACACCAAAACCTCTAAGCTACAGCTGGACAAATTCCTTCCTGAAAAGGTTTTTGGTATAGTAGTCCAGTGAAATTACTCACTGAATTGATGCTGTTGGTGATTATGCCTTTTCCACCCTGCCTTGATTTTCAGGTTTCTTCCCTTGGCTAGATCCCCACACGGATCATGCAGGTAGTACCCAGAGAAACCTCCAGACCTGTGGGGAAGGCAGTGTTGTTGCTTCCAGTGAAATGCATGTTTCGTTGTGTGTGCATGCATGCATGCATGCTCACTGCTGTTTGTTGTTCCCTGCATGCCTAGGGAGCTATACAGGTGGGGTAGGGAACATACCTGTCCTGAGGACTAGTAAATGACAGCTGGGGATATTGGAAGTGAAATAAAAGTACTGTGCTATTTCTCATGATTTTGGGTACAGAAAATAAGGTCTCCCACTTCTTCCTTCTCTATTTCCCTCCAGTTCTGGAGGTATTAGACCATTTTCAGTCTCTGTCTTTTCAGGCAGTTGCTGGGCCAGCAGGACAGGGAAGCAGACAGTTTTCCTGTCTTGGTTCTCTAGGTAAGGAGCAGGCCAGTGGTTGTAATTCATCTCTCCCTGTCACTCTCCCAGCCTTGTGCATGGTTTTGTTTGTGCTTTCCTCCTGTGGTTTGGAAGAGGTGGAGTCCCAGCAGAAGCAGTGGCAGAGAAGAGCTTCCCAAGCAGAATCTGGGGGCTCTTTTCCAAGGGAAACTGGAAATCCCTTTTGGCTTTAGTTAAAGGGTGAGGTTTGGCTTTGAATATTAGTTTGACTGTAGGAGAAAATTTGGACCCAAGGGGTTTTCTGACTGATACTTTGTACTGATTTCTCTCCTTGGGATTCATTGGTGTTGGAAGGTAGTTATGTTCTACATTGTCAGTGGGGTAAGGCTTAATGTCTTTGTGGTCTGTCATTGTTCTGATTACTGCTCTTTGGCACAACCATCTACCAGGCACAAATCTCACAGCTTTATTTAGGAAATCCAAGTACTTACAGGCACTTACATCCCCAAGCAGTCTGGCTGCGTGGAGTGGGAGTTGTCCGTTCAGCAGAGAAACAAAATAGCTCGGTTTCTCCCTGGTAAGGGAAGATGATTCCACGGCAGTGATTTCAAGCACTTCTTTAGGCTGAAGATGCCCTTCAGGAATTCACTACTGAGAAATTCCCTTCTCCTTGGCAGCATGTGCCCCCAGTTTTAGCATCAATGTATGGCATGCTTGGTTCAGCAATGCAAACTTGCTTCCTTGAGAGTGCTTTCTTGCTTGCTATTATTGTTCTGGTTTTGATTTGTATTTTTCTTAATCTGAAAAGGGACAAAGGGACTGTAAAATCACTCAATCTGACTAGCTAAAGTTGCTTGTTTTGGAAATTCCTGAACATAGTATCTACAGCTTATGAGCGTTATTGCTGACACAATGAACAGACACTTCCACTTGCAGAAATTCCAAGATCCTGAGAGTGTCAGGGACAGGGAGAAGGACAACATGTTGGCTCATCTCCTTTCTGGCTGGGATAATCCCTGATTCCAGCCTCTGATAGTCTTGTTTTTTCTAGGACAGGCATTGCTGGAGACTGCTGCCATGGGGCACTTATTTCAGGGATGGTGATAAATCCTATTTCACAACTAGCATAGGGAAGATAGCATTTCACTCCATCAAAATGCACCAGGGTCTGTTGTCTCTCATGTCTGATGATTAAGTGCCTGGCTTAAAGAGTATAATTTAAATAGCTGTTTCCAGTGAGGATACTGAGTGCCACTGGGTTGGAATAGTGCCAAGGACTGCTGGGCCACAGACTGAGTGGGGGCCAGCTGAGTTCTAGGGCACAGAATCCCCAAGCTAGAAATAGGTGCCAACTTAATTAAACTTCTGATCCAAACTCATCAGAGAGCAAGTCTTGAAATCATGGGAAAAGGGAGGGCAAAAAGAGGCTGCCAAAATTTTAATAATAAAGGTAATTAAAGTAATGAAGCACCTTTTCCATCTTTCCCCTGTGATTTTTAAAGCTCAGTTCAGGATCAGTAGCTCATTAAGTGTGGCTCTGAGCTCCAGCAATTCTGATATTGCCCCCTTAGAATTCCTCTGTTTTCTCACAGATTATTCCTGTTTCATGGGTTTGAGGTTATTAATACTGGGGTTTTGTCTAAAGATGCGGGCACCTTTACAGAACAGCAGCAGACAAGGTAGTTGCAATTTGACCTTTGCAGAATGAAGAGTGATATCTTTTGATATCATGTTGTCTGATGGATTTTAAATTACCTGGAGTGAGGTTAGAGTACCACAGAAGCATCTGCTGAGACACCCCTCTGCTCCGAAAGCATTTACTGGTTAAATCTATTTCCTTCTATTTCACAGTCAGCAAATTTTGCTAAGCTTTGGTTCTGAACATAATTTTAGAAAGGAACCCACCCCTAAATCTCTCTGCCTTTATCAGAGCAGCCTGTATTGCTTTGGACTGCCACCATGAGCATTCCTGTGAGAAACCCTCTCACTGTAGCATAGCTCTTGCTGTGCTACCAGAGTGCTAGATTCTCTGGGGAACCAAAGAACTTCCTGAAATGTGAGGTGCATACTTATGAAGGTCCCCACCAAGGTTCAGGCCAGACTCTGAGACTGACTTCTGCAGCTTATACAGAATCTAGAAAGCTTCAGGTAGTTTAGAAAAAAGTTTCCTGTGTGGGAGTGGGTATGTGCCAGTTCAGTCTGATCAGACATCACCTCATAAAGGCTGTGCACACACTAGGATACTAAGAATGAAATTAAGAAAGGGAAGGGGATGCAAGAGCATCTCATGAGCCTGTGAGCTGGATTTGAAGTTCCTCAGTTGAAACAGTCTAAAGATGCAATGACAAGGGAATTGGAGACAAAGGGCCTTCTTCTGAAGGAAGTTCTAAACCATACATGAATTGTTGCTGCAGCCAGCTGCTCACAGTCTGAGGTTTGTGCTTTGTCCTCTGTCCTGGCAGCTCAGGAATCCTGGAGTGACCCCTTTACTGGAAGAGGAGGCCTTCAAAAGAAAAAGGTAAGTTTTCAGCTACAATATGTTGGTTGTCTTTTAGCCAGGGAGTTCCATGTGACAGATACATTGCTATAAATGCTCGCTGTCAAACTCTGCAGGTCTCTGTCCCTGTTGCTCTGTCTACGTCTGCACTGCATGCATGGCTAGGACTGGAGTCTAAGTAATCTTGATTCTTTGCCATCCAAAGTCACGTGCTGTTCTGCAGGGTGGCTGTTTTGTAATATGGTTATCAGCTCTAATGTTGCATCCTCTGTCAGTACTTCCCAGGCTGCCTACAATAATTTGTTGTTAAAAATATGGATTTAATGTTATGCCCTTGCCTACACAATTTTTTTGATAGTGGCTGAGGAAGTCACATTCTCTTCACACCTGACAGCTAGGGGCATCATTTTCCCTTAGAACAGTGAGACCAGCAGTGATTTTCCTCAGATGCTGATACCAAATGATAAGGCACTTGTGCTGAGAGAAGTTGGGACAGGTGTAGCTGTGAGCTACCTGCTGTGTTAGTCCTGCAGCTCTCTGTCTTTTCGTGATTGCACTGGAGGGCCTGTGAGCTGAGCTCTTCTGCAACAAATGCTCTCAGTACCCTGTTTCTATCACTGGTGCCTGCTGGCAGGTGTGATGAGAAGCTTCTTTGGCATCCTTCCCACCCCCCACCCCTCTTCTTTAGCTTGGAACAGACTTCTCGCCCTTTTTTCTGGCAGCATAGCTGGGAACCTGCTTCAGGCTGTGCTCACTACAACAGGATTAGCCTCTTGTTAAAGCCATCTCCTTTTGATCTAGCCCTGTTGGAGAGAATCTGTCATGACTCTCTGGCTTAGCAGGGGCATGATGAAGTGTTTGCAAGAGGAATCTCCCCCCCATGTCGTGGGATTTTCCCCAATACTTGCTCAGTTGGACACTTTACTGCTGCTAATCTCTACATTCAGGACTCGTGCCGCTGCAGAGACCAAGCAGCTTTCTGAGGACCAGTGCTCTCAGGGGTAACGGATCTGTTTGATTGAACAATTCCAGAGGGCTTTTCTTGCTGTCGCTTTGACTGTTCATCTAGGATGGAAGAGGAAGGGCCCTATTCTCTGAGTCAGGGGGCTGAAAGAGCAGGGATCTGTCCTTTCATCATCTTGAGAACTGAAGATTCTTCAAGTTAGAAAGGATGTTGAATTTTTCTGTGGAGAAGCAACCAACCTTTCTTCCATGGACTTGGTTTTCTTGATTTTTTTTTTCTTTCCTTTCTTTGCTGACAGTTGTCTGAGAAATTTACTCCTCTGGCCCCCATCACAACTCCAGTAATGGGTGTGCCTGCTGAACCCCAAGGGATCCATCCTCAGCTATCCAGGTTGCAAGAATCTGGCCAGTCACCCCCAGGAGCACCCAAGGAAGGCAGCCTACAGGTACCAAGGAAAGTGGGGCATTCCCCAGCCACCAGCATATTTTCAAGTAGAAAAGCTCAGCTTTTGAGGTTCTTACTACTCAGCAGCTTCAGAGGGCTTATGCTGCTCCCTAGCCTCTACAAGGCATCTCTGCTGAGCATTAGAGAAGTTGCCAGGTTGGAAAAATGGCACCTGGGTATGGGTGGGAGAGAGCAAGGGAGACCAGGCAGGCTGTCAGCCTGCTGGGAGTTGAGAATCCACAGAGGCCTGGAGCTGTATCACAGTCTGACGATAACCTAACTCTGTGCTTCCAGATACTCTCTAGGTTTAGGTTTGTGAAGGGGTGAAATTCTTTCTGTTCTCTAGTTTGAAGAGGGGAATCTAACTGCTCCGGCCTTTCATGCTCCTGTTGCATTCATGAAGCTGCATTCTTTTTCTGTCAGTATCACCAGCTACCTCGAGAAGTCATTGAGAAGAAGGAGCTGCCCCCTGAGCACCAGGCTTTGAAGGCTACCTTTGAAGGGTTGGTGCAACGCTGCTCGGCTGTTGCCACTGATCCAGTAAGTCCTCCCTTCTCTGATCTTGCACTTTTTATCACTTATAGATGTTTGACTGGTGTTTCCTTCTTTTGGTTGGGTAAAGAAAGGAAAAGTCTTGTCCCTATAACCAAGTTAATCTGTATTTGCCTCTTTCCTTTAGGCTGCAGGCTTGTTCAACTTTGGGATCTGAGATGCATTCTCTAACTTTTAACCCCTGCTTCTCATTGCCCTCTTGGAGCAATGATTCTGTCCTCCTGGCGCTTTCTTTTAAGGAAAGTAGAAGAATTTACTCAGCTAATTCAGTTTCACTGGCCTGATCTGCAGATAGTTCCTGCAGAGCTGGTATTACCAGCTGTCTTTAGACCGTAGAGAGAAAGGCTGAGATATGCCAGGTGGAAGAGAAAGCCAATCAATCTTTATGTCTAAGTAAATGTAATTTCTCCACCCTGGTTCCTGAAAGGCTATTGGCACATCACACTGGGTGAATGTGTCAGACCAGACTGTCTGGAAGCAGAAAAGCAGTGTTTGCACATGGTGTTAGGTTGCTAAGTTTTCCAAGGGCTTGGGGCCACTAAGAAGCTTCCCAGAATACCTCTGCTTGATAGGTGTTAGGACGAGCACTGAGCCCAGACTGCTATGCCAGAGTCAGGCAATTAGAACAGCATCTTCAGTGTGTTTGCTTGTGCTTTCTAAGAGTGCAGCATAGCAATTTCTGGGAGCAGAATCTAAGGTTCCCTCTATGGACAGAAAGGCCTGTTGGTTTGGGCTTAAGCACTTAACTCATGTGGTGGTTGAATAGCTGGCTCTGTACAGCAGTGCAAGGCACCTGAACTCCTGTGGCTTCCAGGCCTATTCCAGTAGTGCCCAGAGCCAGGCATTTGTATTCACGGAATAAGTTACCCATGAGTGGTTTATTCAAGATGGGGGTTTATGAGGTCAGTCTTATCAGAGCCTCAGTACTCACTTCACACACTTTCCTTGGTGGTTACCTAGAGTGGGAAGGATATTCCCTCTTTTCACTAAGGAGACCAGGAAGAAGCTCTTTCTTGGGCTGGTCAGGGTGAGGCTGTCTGAACACCCCATGGGTCAACTAGTGGTTGTCTCTCACACTTTGGAAGTCATCAGTCTATCCTGTGGTTTGCAAATACCGGCAGAAGGGAGGAATGCTTGGGCTGGGAGATGGGAAAAGGGGCAACCCATCTTTCTGTGTTGGGGAAAGAATGTGTATATGTGTATGTGCAGAGTGAGGGCATGGCTGGCTTGTGTCACAGACCCTGGCTGTCAGAGGCTGAGATGCAGCTGAATGGTAAGGTGCTGTGGAAAGACAGAGGAAGGGAGGGACTGAGTGAGAGTGCTTTGGCTCTGGAGGGGTGGCTTTGAACAAGCAATGCCTATTTTGCTTCAGAAAACGCGAAGGAAGCTGGAGGACGCGCTGCAGCGGCTGGAGTGTTTGTATGAGAAGCTGCGCGAGCAGGCGGTGAGTAGCTGCCACCATTCCTTGTGGTCCTGCTGGGTCCCTGAGCCCACCTTGGCACTGGATTGAGGGTCTTGGTGTCTGTACCAGTGTAACCACCACATATTCTCTTGGAAGACAAGGGGAGTGCCAAACCTTGTAGTGGTCATTAATCCAGCCTGCCTTGTATCTTCTTTCTTAACTTTGGCCTAGACATAGTGTAAGGAAAAGTTGAGGAGGTATCTAAAAAGTGCTTTTGCCCTTCAAGACTGGCACATAGATCCTGGATGAGAAGGAGCAGTTGGGTGTGGTTAAGTGTGAACATAGTGTAACTATCTTGGAAAACTCTGAAGCTGGTGATGCCAATTGCTGATGCCAGCTGGCAGTTGTAGTCTGGGAAAGCAAGGGGAGAAGCAGATATCCTTCTTGCCATTGCTTGACTGTATAGGTGCTGTTTGGTGAAGATGAAGTGGAGAACAGTAATGAAGGGTGTGGAGGAAGAGAGACCTGTGTTATATCACAGAATATGCTGATTCATTTCTTCTCCCTCTCCACAGCTCTCTCCAACCATCCTCATGGGTCTCCACGAAATTGCCCGATGCATTGAGGCTAAGAACTACCCACAGGGTCTCCTGGTTCACACCCAAGTTGTGAGCAGCAGCAGTTTCAGTGAGGTGTCTGGTTTCATGCCCATCCTGAAAGTCCTCATGACCATAGCAGGCAAGCTGAATGTGTAAAGTGTGGAGCAGCTGGAACAGTGCACACCAGGAGCTGGTGGACTGCCTCACCTATTGATGTGCTGCAGGTTGTGGACTCTCCTTCTGACTCTGGAGAAATAGGTCTGTGCCAGTGCCTGGAACTGTGCTAAGCCAGCACGCCTGGCCCCATCCACTTTCCAGATAGCCCACTGGTGCCTGCAGTTCCTAGAGACTGTTCTTTCTCTCTTCTTTCTTACTAGTCTGAGGCCACTTTTCAGCCCAGGGATCTCAATTTCAGGCTGTCCAGGTAGCACAGAGGTCCTTCTTCTTCCCTATATCCCCAGCATAAAGGGGAAAATCTTTCCCTTCTAGGTTGATGTTGCTTTTTATTTTTCAGGAAACAAACAGGGCTGGTACCTGCAGCACCACCACAGAAGAGCCTCAGGCTCTGTTCCCTGCTGCAGAGTAAACTTCCTGAGTGGTAGCTGGGCTGCCTTGGGAATCTAGGCTGGTGTGTCCTCACTCTGCTGGGCTGCAGCAAGGATCTCTCCTGGCTCCTTCTTTCTTTTCATTCTCATCCTTGACTCACCCTTCTACCCCTCTGCACCCATATCCTGCTACAGCTGGGGCTAACTACTAGTCTATTCTGGGCCAGCTTTGGTTCTCTTTCTTCTTCACCCAGCTCTCTTGTTTTTAAAAGTCAAGTCTCCTGTTTGCCCTCTATCCACCTTCCTTTATATCTTTTCCCCCATCATCTGCAGGCTCAAGCCCATAATGTTTCAGACCCAGGGATGATTTCCATTTCCAGTTCCTGGGACTCTCCCATTCAGGAATGTTGGCAGGTTGTGCTCTGTGCACTTCTCCCCAGAGCCAGTCACATCCTGTCTTGGGGCTAAAAGCTGCCCTTTCTGGCTCTTGGCCTTTTTCACTTCTTTTACTTTAGCACAGCTAGACTTTTACCACTGGTATTATCTAAAGGCTTCCTATTTCAGGTTTTTCAGATGGCCTAGGGACTTTAAGAGCAGCAGGGATTGTTAAGACCCTTAAAGGTTTCCCTTGAGCTACCCTGACCAGCCCAGACTTGAGCAGGGAGAGACAGCTCATTGCTGCCAGTATGGTGCATTCATACTACCTACAGTTACAGATACATGAAAACGTGGTTCTTAAATGTCCATTGGCACTGTAGTAGTAGGAATATGCTGCAGGAGGTGATCTTGTTAGGACTTGAAGATACGGATTGTGCTGAGACTTGTCATCACTGTGGCAATCCTCTGGACGTAGATGGATGAAAAATATCTGTCCTGAGGAAGAAGTCTGGGAAGGCAGATGGGATTTTAGGGCACATCTTTCTGTGTGTTTATTTCCTTCTCTTCCTCCCTCCTTGCCTTCTCTCTCAACATCCTTACTAACCAGGCAGCATAATCACTGATCCATAGCTGAGAGCAAGGCTTATTCCCAAGATTTGGATGCAGCCAGCCCCTATTTGCTCTTCTTGCTGCTTGAGTGATAATGCTATTGTGGGCCTGCGGTTCTGTGACGTACACGAATCAACCTAGTCTACCATGAGACTTAGGAGGGAGGAGAATCACAGAAGGGAGGAAGAGGACATGTCTCATTGACTCCTTTCCAGGTCAAAGTGCCTCCTTGTTGCTGCTGTGTTGTTTCTATTGCTGCGGTTTGATGCACTGAGAAATTACAGAACAGTGAAATAAAAGCTGTGTTTTGTGATGCTTTTTTTCATTGGTTTGTTACCTCTGGCTGCATGGGACTTCTTCACTCTGCATGGCCACCCACAGAGAGGGCAGTTGAGAACCATGTGGGGCAACCAGATTTTGGGCTCTGCTGCTATGGGTGGTATCCATCCTGCTGTGGTGAGACCTCAGGTTTTACACACTCCCTAAGGCTGCAGGGTCAGAGCACTGATCTCCAGATCACCTGCATCAGTTGTGACTGTTCATCTGCCTCAGACACAAGAAGGCCCCAGACTCAGGTTGTCTTGAGGAATCTCAGCAGTGTTTGAGATTTTGCACTTGACATCAAGAGTTGGAAGTATGTGAGTAAACCAAGAGCCCTTGATGACATTGTCTCCCATTGGAAATAAATGTTGCACCACTGAAGCCATGCAGCTTGAACGAGGATAAGGATTGGACCTGTGTGGAAATTTATACCCTTGAATTGTCAGTTCTTATCATTAGTTAATAACTTAGGAATCTGTTGGCTGATTTAATCTTTTAAGGAAGTAAGAAGGGCTGAATTGAAACAGTACTGAGATAAAGGTTGGGGAATTAAACTTCTTTCTTACAAAAGAAAGAAATTCTGGGGGTTTTTTTTCTGTCAGCTAGCTAGTATGTATGTACAACCCTGCCAGTCAGCACATATGAAACTCTGAAATATGAAGGACTGTATTACATGACCCAAGGCTGGAGGACTTTGGAGGAAGCAAAGGCTTGAAAAGATTGTTTGAAAATTTGAAGGGCTGTTGCTGAGAAGGGCCCAGGGTTTTTGGAAGTTATGGGTGTTAGGGACACACCACATGCATTCAAGGAAAAGAAGCCTTTTGTAGTTCTGTTGCTGGCAGAAGCAAGCACCCAGTTTGGAGTCTTGAAGAGCTTTTGGTCTGGAGTAGTTAGCAAACAGCCTGGCCTAACAGCTGTCCCCCAGCAGGGACAAGCAAAGCTGATTGTCAAAGGTAACACTGGTGCAGCATCAGAATGGGGTTATTACACAGCCCAGGTGGCATACATTTGCTTAATGAGTATATAAGGGAAGCCCCAGCTTTCTGAGATCACTTAACAAGCCTGGCATTTCTTAGATTCTGGCATTTTGGATTCAGTTATGCTACCCTTTGCCATCCAGCCCTTTGCTCTCTTTAACTCTGGCCACTTCTGCTGCTGAGAAATAAGCACAGATTTTCCACATATCTCTCAGATACATATGACATTAGTTCCCTCCAGCACTCATAGCTACTGCTACCCAGTACTTGTGCAGAGACTGGCTGTTTATGCTGCCATCCCACCTGCCCCTCTGTTGCTCTGTTTTGCTTCATGTTTACCCCTGTAAGCACCATCCCTGAAGCTCTTTGCTTTGAAAGCAAGCCGAAGGGGGAAGTGAGGTGACTCGCTTGAAAGTCTTGGAGAGGCTTGTGGCAGAGGCCCTGTCCCTGGTGTGGTATATTACCATTCAAACCCCACTGGAAAGTGCTCCTCTGTTTATAGCACCATCTCTGCTGGCTGGCAATATCTCAGCCTACGGGCAGTGAGCATTGCTCCATCCCGTGTGGGCACATGGCTTCACAGCACCCGGGCACCAGTGAAAGCATTTTCAGTTGTGTGAGAAGGCCTTTGGCTTGACAAAGAATTTGGGGGGGAAGGGGGCAGAGGAAAGGATCCCTGGGCACAGAGAACAGAGCTCTAATCCTGTGGCAGATAACATCATGTCTGCAGGCTAGGCTTGTGTGTGTTTGGGGGAGCTGGAGGGGCAGAGATTGTTAGGCAGTATTTGTTTGTAAAGCCACTTGCTCTGAAGATAATGCTTGCACTAACTTCTATTGAGGGAGCAGTGTGAGTCCCCACAAAGTCCTTTCCCAAAGTGTCTTTGAAGCCAAGAACCCATTGAAAGGAAGAAAGGCCAAGAGAGGGGATTAGTTTGTTCAGCAGCTGTGAATTTCAGTGGGAGGCTGATGAACTCCAAAGTCTTTGTTGAGATGTTTTTTGTAAGGAGCCCTGCTGGAGGGAGAGACCCACACCGGGGCCGCGGCCTTAGACAAGAAGGAATCTGAAGCGGCGGGGAGCTGTAAACGGGCCACAAGGACTTTTCCCAAACACTTTTCGGAAAAGGTGTTGTAAAGAGATCGGAGGGGGATTAGCATGTGAAATGACACTTTCCATTGACTCCACTGAGGGGAGGGGAAAAGGGCTGGCTGGCTGATTTATTAGCATTTTGTTCCCTTCTCTATTCTGCTCCCCCAGCAGCCCCCCTCCGTTGTCTCCCCTCCTCCCGAGCCCTCTAAAGAGGTTGGATTGGAAAAGGGAGCGGGGGGCTGCCTGTTTGTGTGTCATCTGGGCGAAGGTGACCACCTGGGAAGCTGAATGTAAATATTTCTCCTCTGAGGAATGCGCCTTCATTAAACCGAAATGAATACATGGAAGCATCCAATCCTGCCCACAATGGCAGCAGGGCCCGTACCGCTGCGGGCTCCGTGCGCCGGGAGGGGACCCGCTGCTGAGGTCAGCGCATTCTGCAGCTGCGGGCCGCCGCTGCCCCGGCGGAAGCGGCGTGGGGCGGCGGGGCTCCCCTGAGCCGCCCCGCGCGTCCCCCTCGCCCGCAGCGGTGCGAGTGGGAGACAGCGCGAAACAGCCCTACAGCTTTTCCAGCCGACTGTGGAACGGCGAGAGCCAGAAGGAAAAGGGAGGCCCATGTTGGAGCTTTCCCTGGTGGTCGAGAGGCTCTTGCTTCCTCTTTCCTGGCCAACCACAGGGATAGGGGAACTGTGCTGTGGATGCAGGAGACCTTTGGCAGGGTCACCGTGCTAGTAAGAACTTCTGTGCAAACAGTGGTGGTTTGTGTGTGAAGTGGAAGTGTTTCAGTTTTCACTGAGAATGGGCCAAGGTTTCTTGCAATTTTTGAAAGGGCAGATTCTTGCTTGACAGGAATGCTCTTGCTCTGATGAGACCCTAGGTCCAAATTCCTGCTCCCCTGTGAGGTAGTCCTAGAATCAAGGGACTAATTGATAATGAAGAGACAAATATAGGCTGCTGAGTGTTGTTAATATATCTGCTGTGTACTAGACAACTGGGCCCTGTCTGCCCCACTCCCACCCCATTTCTTCCTGGTAGTTGCATTGCAGTTGGATGCATCATCAAGCAAGCTCAGGAGAGAGCACAGCCTTTTCCCTTGTGGTAGAGGCTGAGGTTGTGCTGGCTGGAACTGGTTGAGTCTTCCTGAGCTCAGATGGGTAAGCAGTGTGTTTTAAACTCCAGGAGTCTTAAATTTATACATACACACAAAATGGGGCAAAAGAACACCCAACCACTTAAGACACAACAGCATTTTGCAAGCACTTGGCTACTGATTTATTGCATTGGCTATTGGTTTACAAATATTGTCTACAAGATTAGTCTAATGGCCAGTAACAGCTCTGCTGGCTTCTTGTCTGGCTAAAGGACACTTCAAACAGCAAAACAGATGATATTATCGCAGCTCAGGGGAAGATTGTTGTGATGGTACAGTGAGCTTCCCCAAGTCCCGCAGCTGGCAGCTTCTTACCTCCCTCCCCTAGCCTTAGCAAGGGAACAGAGATGCATCAACCAAGTCTTCCTGCTGCTTGCTTAGCCTATAGAATATATACAATAAGTGGTAGAGGAAAAACTGTTATGTATACATCACAGTAACTGTGCAATAAATTAAACTTCAAAGTGCTTCACTTTCCTATTTACACCACCATTAAATACCAACTGACATTTTTTCTCAGACTAGGAAGAAGTAGTTAGTTAGCTGACAGGGTAAGAGTGCTTGGCAAGTACACCAGGACATGGGGAATAGGCTCAACTCAGCAGCTCCTCTCTGGGAATGATCTGGGAGGAAGGAGGTAGTGGAGAAGTACGAGGGCATCTTTATGGCATCAGTCAGGGGCTTTGATAGGAATGCTGGCCTAAAAAGGGGGACCAGACCTGGGGAATTGAAAGACACAAAGAAAGCGTGTAAAAATCAAGTGATGGGACCCTGATTTTGGACAGTTGTGTAATGGGCAGGTCAAGCAGCAGTTTCGATCTTGCTGCTGCCATTTCAAATGCAAAGTAAAGTACTGGAGAGCTTAGCAAAGCTGTCAAAGTGTGGGAAGCAAAGCTGTGGGATCCCTGGAGGCTGGCTTGCTGAGAAAGGAGTTGCATGTCTTTTGTATTTCCTCAAAGTGTAGGCCTGAGGCAATAACTGTTTTAGTACCTCTGTTTTTTAAAAACCTCTTCTCATTTACTAATCCGAGTTGCCCAATTGTTGGTGCCATCTCAAGTTCCTTGTACTTTTCATCTCACTTACTCAAAAGCCCAGAGCAGGTGCTTGTTTGAGGAACAGATAAGCTCAAAACCACAGGAGCCACCAAGACCTCCTGTATTTTCAGAGATAATGCCATAGTCACTGGATAGAGTGACACTGAGCTGAAGGGACCCAGTCTCACTTTGTTTTGTGAACACTTGAAGGTCTCCCCAGAAGACATTGCCCACTGCACTAATGCCCTTCACCACTGCAAGGCCTGAGAGCTCATACAAGGCTCTTTTGCCTTGCCCAAGCCCCAGTGAGGCCGCAGTGGGAATGAGACAAAACTATGCCAAACAGAAATGGTGCCAGGAGCTGATGGGAAGGGCAGGAGAGGAGAGGGGCAGACAGAACTGTGGAGGAGCAGAAGCAAGTTAGAGCTTTCTCTTGAGCTTGCGGCTGGCTCCGCCACCTCCGCTGCGCTCCCGCTTCTCCTTGCGGACGCAGAAGTACTTGGTGACGCGTTTGCGGCACTGCTCGCAGCGCACAGCACAGCACCAGTGGAACTTGCAGTTGCAGCTGGACACCATCTCGGCTCGCCTCTCCTCCACCGCCAGCCCGCAGTCCCCACACAGCCGCCGGCAGCTCCGCTTCTCCCACTTGCTGAGCGCCTTGCCCCTCTTCAGGCACTCCCTGCCCTCCGTGCCCAGCAGCCCCAGTGTCTTGTTCTCCAGGCAGTAGTCGGGAGAGTCTTCCAA